CGCCTCCCTGCCCTGCCCGTGCGCAGCCCACCGCCGCGCCACCCTGCCCTGCCGTGCGCAGTCCACCGCCGCGCCACCCTGCCCTGCCGTGCGCAACCCGCAGCCGCGCTCTGCCCTGCCCGTGCGCAGCCTGCCCTGCCCTGCCCGTGCGCAGCCTGCCCGCCGCACTCCCTACCCTGCATGTGTGTGCAGTCCGCTTCCTCCCCTGCCGGCTGCCCCTAACCCAGTGAGCGCCGCCTCCTTCTGCCCTGTGCACGCATCCTGCCGCTTGCCCTTTGCCCATGGCGACTTACAATGTTCTCACCTTTGACGCAGAGGGCCGCCCGATCGAATTTGAAACCTGGTTAGACGACCTTAGGCTCTACCTTCAGTGCGAGTCTAAGGATCGTGTGTCCCTGTTCGCTCATACGTCTGGTAGCGCTGCCGCCCCTGCAGACACTGCTGACGCTGACACTCGTGACCAGTGGCTTATTCGCGACGCTGCTGCCCGCCTAGCTGTGCGCAACCACCTACCGTAAGCCGAGCGCGCGCACTTTAGCCAACAGAAAACCGCCAAGGACCTGTTCGACGCAGTCGTAGCTCGCTACAGCTCGCCTGCCACTGCTGCGCTAGGCCGTCTTATCCTGCCCTACCTCTTTCCTGACCTGTCCGCCTTTCCTACAGTCGCTGATCTCATCACCCACCTCCGCACTAGCGACACTCGGGTGCGTGCTGCGACCCCTGCCGACTTCCTCACCAAGAACCCTCCCCCTATCCACTACACCCTCTATCTCCTAGTCACTCGCCTCCCTGACTCTCTTCGCGCTGTCAGGGACACCTTCCTCGCCATGGACCCCACTGAGCTCACTATAGGCGCTTCTCGAGGCACTCCTCGCACCCCCTTCTTCGAGGGGTGTTCCCCCTCTCCCCTCCTCCCCTCTGTCGCCACTGCTGCTGCTGTCGACCTCCTTGGTGCTGAGGAGGTTGGGGTTGCGTCTGCTTCCAGTGGCAGGCGCCGCAGCGGCAAGGGGAAGGGCGGCAAGGGTGGTGGGGGTGGTGGGGGTGGAGGCGGTGGTGGAGGCTCGGGTGGTGGCGGCGGGGGTGGTGGGAGCGGCGGGGGTGGGGGTGGGGGTGTTGGGGTCGGTGGTGGTGGCGGCAGTGGGGGTGGCAGCGGCGGAGGTGGCGGCGGTGGGAGTGGCAGCGGCGTCGGTGGCGGTGGACGCAGTGGTGCGGCCCGGCACAGCGGCTTTACAGGCAGCCAGGCACAGCAGCAGCAGCGCCAGCGCCTGCCCCGTACGCCGCAGGACCTTCGTGAGTGGTACGCGCAGCGTCAGTCGCCTGGGGGTGGTGGTACCTGCCCGTATGTCATTCGTACGGGTGAGCGTGCTGGTTAGACCTTCGGGAGGTTGCACACCCAGCACCGCTGCTTTTCCCGCCTTAGTGGTGCCTGGCGTGCTCAGTTTCCTGACTGCTCTGAGATGACCAACTGGGCTGAGCTGCTTTGGAGGGGAGTAGAGATCTTTGATCTTGACTATGATGCTATCCTTGCTGCCATGTATGCATTGACTATTAGTGATGAGGGTGACTGTTACCTGTGTGTTCCGCCAGACCCTGGTATAGAGGCTGCTGCTCCAGGTGCTTGTGAGTCTGTTGCCCTTGGTGCTTGTGAGTCTGCTGCTCTAGGTGCTAGTGAGTCTGCTCTCTAAGGTACTGCGCCTACTGAGGCCTTGTACACTTTCACGCTAGACTCAGGTGCCTCCCGCTGCTTCTTCCGCGACAGCACCACAGTCACACCGCTCTCTGCACCGGTTCCCGTCTCCCTTGCTTACCCCTCTGGGGAACCTGTCCTTGCTCGTTCCTCCACTGTCCTCCCCTGTCCGGCGGTCCCGTCTGGCTCACTTACAGGTCTCCACCTCCCCTCGTTCTCCACGAACCTGGTGAGTAACGCCGTCATCCAGGATGAGTGGGTTGACACCTTCACCCCTGGAGGACGTCGTGTGGCGATCTGCACGTGTGCCCGCACGGGCCGCCACCTGGCCACGTTCACCCGTCGGCCTGGGTCGAGTCTGTACACCCTGACTGTCGGGTCTCCCCAGGTTGCTGCTACTGGTCAGGTGTCCTTGTCCGGACTGCAGTCTGCCCCTTGCTTGTGTCGTCGCCTGTCGCACCAGACTCTCCTCTGGCACCACCGCCTTGGTCACCCCTCTCTGCCACGCCTCCGTGGCATGCACTCCCGTCTGCTTGTCTCTGGTCTTCCCCAGTCGCTGCCGTCGCTCCCACGCTCGCCTGCCCCGCCGTGTCTCCCTTGTGTCGAGGGGCGGCAGCGCGCCGCTCCTCACTCCTCCTCGTTTCCCCCGACAGACGCTCCCCTGCAGACTCTCCACATGGACGTGTGGGGCCCAGCCCGCGTCCGGGGACAGGGCCGCGAGCAGTACTTTCTGCTGGTTGTTGACGACTACTCGCGGTACACCACGGTCTTCCCCTTGCGCAGCAAGGGTGAAGTCCCTGCTGTCTTGATCCCTTGGATCCGCGCTGTTCGTCTCCAGCTCCGCGACCGTTTCCAGACGGACTTTCCCGTCCTACGTCTGCACTCTGACAGAGGTGGTGAGTTTTCCTCCGACCTCTTGCAGGACTTTTGTCAGGGGGAGGGCATCCTCTAGTCGTTCACGCTTCCGGCCTCTCCGCAGCGGAATGGGGTTGCTGAGCGCCGCATTGGCCTAGTCATGGAGATCGCTCGCACCTCCATGATCCATGCGGCTGCTCCCCATTTTCTGTGGCCGTTTGCGGTCCGGTACGCTGCGCATCAGCTCAACCTCTGACCCCGTGTCTCCTTGCCGGAGACTTCGCCCACACTGCGTTGGACGGGGAAGGTTGGCGATGCGTCACGTTTCCGGGTCTGGGGCTCTCGTGCCTTTGTCCGCGATACCACCACGGACAAGCTCTCCGCTCGCGCCATTCCCTGCGTCTTCCTTGGCTTCCCTACTGACGCGCCTGGCCGGCAGTTTTACCACCCCACATCGCGCCGTGTTCTGTCCTCTCAGGACAACACGTTTGACGAGTCGGTTCCCTTTTACCGTCTCTTCCCCTACCGCGCTGCCCCCCTTCCCCCCCCCCCCCCCCCCCCCCCGCGCGCTTCCTCGCTCCAGGTCCGCCCCCGGTAGAACCCCTCTCCCCTCAGGGTCCTGCTCCTTCAGGTGTTTCCCAGGTAGACCCCTCTCCCCTGGTTGAGCCTGTCGAGGTCACTGGAAGAGCGAGGAAGAGCGGCAGGGGGGGGGGGGGGGGGGGGGGGGGAGGGGCAGTGCGGTAGGGGAAGAAACGATAAAAGGGAACCGACTCATCAAACATGACGTCATGAGAGGACAGAACATGGCACGTGGTGGGGTGGTAAAACTGCCAGCCAGGCGCGTCAGGGGGAAAGCCAAGGAAGACGGAGGGAAAGGCGCGAGAGGAGAGCTTGTCCGCGGTGGTATCGCGGACAAAGGCACAAGAGCCCCAGACCCGGAACACCGACGCATCGCCAACCTTCCCCATCCAACGCAGTGTAGGCGAGGTCTCCGGCAAGGAGACACGGGGCCAGAGGTTGAGCTGATGCGCAGCGTACCGGACCGCAAACGGCCACGGAAAATGGGGAGCATCCATGACTAAGCCAATGCGGCGCTCAGTAACCCCATTCTGCTGCGGGGAGGCCGGAAGCGTGAACGACTGGAGGATGCCCTCCCCACGACAAAAGTCCTGTAGGAGGTGGGAGGAGAACTCACCACCTCTGTCAGAGTGCAGATGCAGGACAGGAAGGTCCTGGCGGAACCGCTCGCGGAGCTGGAGACGGACAGCGCGGATCCAAGGGAGAAAGACAGAAGGGACCTCCCCCTTGCTGCACAAGGGGAAGACCGTGGTGTAACACGAGTAGTCGTCAACAACCAGCAGAAAGTATCGCTCGCGGTCCTGTCCATTGACGAGGGCTGGGCCCCACACATCCATATGGAGAGTCAGCAGGGGAGCAGTCGTCGGGGGAAACGAGGAGGAGTGAGGAGCGGCGCGCTGCCGCCCCTCAACGCAAGGAAGGCAGGGTGGCACAGGCGAGGGCGGGAGGGAAGGCAGAGACCTGGGAAGACCAGAGACAAGGAGGCGGGAGTGCATGCCACGGAGGCGTGGCAGGGAGGGATGACCAGGGCGGTGGTGCTAAAGGAGAGTGTGGTGCGTGAGGAGGCGACACGAACAGGGGGCTGCTACCTGACCTGACGCGAACACCTGACCAGACACAGCCACCTGAGCAGGCTCAGTAGTCAGTGTGTACAGGCTCGACTGAGGCCGACGGGTGAACGTGGCCAGGTGACGGCCCATCCGTGCACACGTGCAGATCGACACACGCTGACCCCCAGGAGTGGTGGTAGTGACCATCTCATCTTGGAGGGCAGTGGTACTCATCAAGTTCGTAGAGAACGAGGGGAGGTGAAGACCGGAAAATGAGCCACACGGAACCGCCGGACACGGGAGAATAGTGGAGGAACGTGCAAGAACTGGGCCCCCTGAGGGGTCAGCCAGAGAGACTGCAACAGGTGCAGGGAGTGGTGTGACTGTAGTACTGTCGCAAAATAAGCAGCGGGAAGCACCTGAGTCAAGCGTGAAGGTGTGCAAGGCCTCAGCAGGCGCAGTACCAGAGAGAGCAGGCGCACTAGCACCTAGAGCAGCAGCCTCTATACCTGGGTCGGGCGGCACACACAGGTAACAGTCACCCTCAGCACTAACAGTCAAAGCATACATGGCAGCAAGAATAGCATCATAGTCAAGAGCAAAGATATCCACATCGGTCCTAAGCAGCTCTCGCCAGCGGGGGAGTTCAGCCTCGTCGCCAAACTCTGCGCGCCAGGCGTCGTCAGGACGGCAGAAGCAGCGGTACTGAGTGTGACCAACCTTCCCGCATGCCTGACCAGCCCGATCACATGTGCGAATGACGTACGGGCAGCGAACACTACCCCCAGACGCCCCACGCTGAGCAAACCACTCACGAAGCTGAGGGTCTCATGGGGACGCTGCTGCTGCTGCCTCTGGCCACCACCAGAACCTCCCCTCTGGACCGCTCCACCCCGACCGCCACCACTGCCGCCGCCACCACTCCCACTGCTGCCACCACCGCCGCCACCACTCCCACCGCTACCACCACCGCCGCCACCGACGCCTCAACTCCCACCACCACTTCCACCACCACCACCACCACCACCACCACCACCACCACCACCACCGCCACCACCACCGCCTCCACTGCCGCCACCCCCACCACTCTTGCCTCCCTTGCCCTTGCCGCTGTGGCGCCTCCCACTAGGAGCAGAAGCAGCACCAAGGAAGTCAACAGCAGCAGCAGAAGCGACAGAGGGGGCAAGGGGGGAGGGGGAACACCCCTCAAAGAAGGGAGTGCGAGGAGTGCCATGAGAAGGTGTATGATGAGGTCGTCGACTGTGGACAAGGCCGACAGCTCAGGAAAGAGGTAGGGCAGTATGAGTCGGCCTAGAGCAGCAGTGGCAGGGGAGGAGTGCACGCGTTTGGCTAACGGCAGGTGGTTGCGAACGGCGAGGCGAGCAGTAGCGTCACGGGTAAGCCACTGTGAGCGAGTCGCACTGTCAGCTGTCTCGGGGGGGGCGAGAGAGCTCCTAGACGTGTGGTCAAATAAGGAGACACTGTCCTTAGACTCGCTCAGTAGGTACAGCTGTAAGTCGTCTAGCCAGGTCTCAAACTGGATCGGACGGCCCTCAGAATCGAAGGTGAGAACATAGAGGCCATAACGGGCAGAGCAGGGTGGCGCACAACCAGCAGGGCAACACGCAGGCAAGGCAGGGCGGCGCGCAGGAAGCAGGGAGGCACGCAAGTCTGTTCGGGGCGACGCGCGGGCACTAGGGAGGCGCGCAAGCCAGGGCGGGGCGGCGCGCGGCCGGGGAAGGGCGGCGTGCGGCCAGGGCAGGGTGGTGCGCTGCCAGCAGGGCGGCACGCGGACACGGGGGGAAACGGGCAGATCAAGGCGGCGCACGGGCCCTAGGATGATGCGACGGGCAGGGCAGGGCGTGCGCGGGCGGCGCGACGCAGGGCAGGGCGTGCGCGGGGCGGCGCGACGCAGGGCAGGGCGTGCGCGGGGCGGCGCAACGCAGGGAAGGGCAAGGTAGGGCAACGCGACTAGTGGGGCAGCGCGACGGGCAGGGTACTCTTCGGTGGGCCCTAAAAAAACGGTCGTGGAATAGGACCTGCTCTGAAACCATGTCAAAATACTGAACGAGAATGATGGCATTGAGAACAAGATGAATACAAGTACTAGCCCTAATTGGGTTGTACCCTTTAAGGGTTACCCCACTATAGCCTACGCAACATAACCATTATCATGTTTTGACACCTACTGTTACCGTTAGACTGGTACATTAGCCCATCGTTCCATGTCAGCCTGCTCCACCCGTACATCCCCACCACAAGCCAACTGCCACGCAATCGCCCACCGTCAATGACTCGACCTGCATCGGAGCCGATCGTCGACCCCGAAAAAAAACTAAGCCATCGGATTCGCTACCCCGCAGGAATCAGGAGGATCGAGTTCCTCGTTCGCTGGAAGGACCGCATCCCGACCAAATACAGCTAGGTGCCCCTGGCCAACATCGAAAACCACCCTGCCCTGCAAGTGTACCTGAGGAGCTGGGATTTTCGTGGTATACATGCACTCGCGTAGCAGAGAAGGTTTTTTCAGGGGGTGGGTAGTGTAAGGATTTTTCCACCATTCTTTACGGCGTGCTTCAATACCGCGTACAGCAGCAGCCGTTGTTCGCCCGTTACTGCTAACGGGGCTTCGCCAACCTTCGCGTGCATTATTCACCAAACCATGCACTGTTGGCCCGGCCGTGTCAGCCTACGCTTCGGGACTAGCCCGAACCTTGATGCCAGCATCGCACTAGGTAGCTTGCACGCACCGCGTAACCACTTGCATGTTTCGTATAGGTATTTTCCCATGCCTTCGCTCATAATTTGTACTCGGTTGACGCCCGAGTGCAATTTTCTCGATTTAGATCATTGCACCTGTAACAAAAATATAGGGTATATGAAAAACAATTGAAGGACGTTACGAAACACGTTCCAATTCGTTTTGAATGGTTCATCCTGGTGCGCAATGTGGTAAGAGCCGAAAACCGCGCCTAAACGTAATTGACCGTATTCAACCACGTCCGCTTCTGAGCCTTTTTTCGACCACCACCGCAAACTTGAACGCGTTCATCCAAGGGATCACTCTCCGCAACTCCCGCACTTGTCGCAACTCTCTACTCGAGCTGGGTACTGATACTCGAGGCAGAAGCTTGTTTGCGCTGCGGCCAGCCAGAGTTTGAAGCACGCCTTTGTGCATTGGGATTGGCCAACTTAACGCGTTCACTAGCCGCACGCTCGCGCCTCCCGAACGGCTTTCCCCGTCATGTCATCGCCGCTCCCCTCGTCCACTCATTCGCGTTCCTCCCCCTTGTGCCCACCATGACGACACTCGCCACACCCTTGGTCGACCTTCTCGCTGCCGCAACACCATCATCATCTAGTCCTAAAGTCCACCGAATGCGCGTTTCCGGGCCTCGGCGCAGTGCCGATCCCCTTGAGCTTCCTCTCCTCCCCTCACCCCCTCCCGTCCTCCTCTCCTCCCCCTCACCCCCACCCCTCCTCTCCTCCTATCCTTCTTCCGTGACGAAACTCGTTACATGATCCACGAGCCAATTTCGAGGAATAATAATTCATCATGTGCGATTGACCACTCGCTCTGAATATAAATCGACGCCCGCTCCCGAGGGCTCAATCACATTCTCCCACCGCTCCTCGCTCATTGCGCGCCTTCGTCTCCTCCCTTCTCAGTGGCACTTTCTTAATCGCACCTTTTCAATCGCATCTTCTCAGTCGCACCTTTTCAATCGCATCTTCTCGGTCGCACCTTGAGTGGCATCGTCTCAGTGGCACCTTCTCAGTCGCATCGTCTCAGTGGCAGGTCCCGCCCAATCTCACCTCATCGCGAGTGCCAGCGTCGTCAGTCCCATCCCGGCGGTTCAACTCGGGCCTGAAGCTCGTTGCCATCGCCACGTCATCGTCATCCCACTCTTCCCGTTTCTCGGGCCGCCTTTGGACGCGCCTCAAAAACCCAACTTCCCGTTCCCCGCGCCGACTCCTGTCGCCATGATTCGCTACACGCGCCTGTCCGGCCAGTGTGGCCTTGCCGCGGTCGTCGCTGGTGTCGTTGCCATCAGCTTCCTCGCGACCCACGCCAGCGCCGCTGAAGGTGAGTAGGCTGACTGCCACACGCCACTGGCAGAAGGCTTGTGGTGCTGGCGCGTGGATGAGTGCTGGCGTGTGGATGAGTGCTGGCGTGTGGATGAGTGCTGGCGTGTGGATGAGTGCTGGCGTGTGGATGAGTGCTGGCGTGTGGATGAGTGCTGGCGTGTGGATGAGTGCTGGCGTGTGGATGAGTGCTGGCGTGTGGATGAGTGCTGGCGTGTGGATGAGTGCTGGCGTGTGGATGAGTGCTGGCGTGTGGATGAGTGCTGGCGTGTGGATGAGTGCTGGCGTGTGGATGAGTGCTGGCGTGTGGATGAGTGCTGGCGTGTGGATGAGTGCTGGCGTGTGGATGAGTGCTGGCGTGTGGATGAGTGCTGGCGTGTGGATGAGTGCTGGCGTGTGGATGAGTGCTGGCGTGTGGATGAGTGCTGGCGTGTGGATGAGTGCTGGCGTGTGGATGAGTGCTGGCGTGTGGATGAGTGCTGGCGTGTGGATGAGTGCTGGCGTGTGGATGAGTGCTGGCGTGTGGATGAGTGCTGGCGTGTGGATGAGTGCTGGCGTGTGGATGAGTGCTGGCGTGTGGATGAGTGCTGGCGTGTGGATGAGTGCTGGCGTGTGGATGAGTGCTGGCGTGTGGATGAGTGCTGGCGTGTGGATGAGTGCTGGCGTGTGGATGAGTGCTGGCGTGTGGATGAGTGCTGGCGTGTGGATGAGTGCTGGCGTGTGGATGAGTGCTGGCGTGTGGATGAGTGCTGGCGTGTGGATGAGTGCTGGCGTGTGGATGAGTGCTGGCGTGTGGATGAGTGCTGGCGTGTGGATGAGTGCTGGCGTGTGGATGAGTGCTGGCGTGTGGATGAGTGCTGGCGTGTGGATGAGTGCTGGCGTGTGGATGAGTGCTGGCGTGTGGATGAGTGCTGGCGTGTGGATGAGTGCTGGCGTGTGGATGAGTGCTGGCGTGTGGATGAGTGCTGGCGTTTGGTTCAGCGGCGCACAATCATAGCAGAAACTGACTCGTTTGAACCCCCTTTCCCTACCTTGCCTGTGTGCTGGTGTGTGTGCCTCTTCGCCCCTGCGTGAAACAATCACGATTTCTGTGCAGACCTGTGTGCCAACGAAGACTGTGGAGAAGCTACCTGCACTGTTGATATAGACATGCCCGTGTGCGTGTGCAAGGACGGTTTTGTATTCGACGATGACCACAAGACGTGTGTGTGGTGGGTGAGTGCTAGTGTGTGGGTGAGTGCTAGTGTGTGGGTGAGTGCTAGTGTGTGGGTGAGTGCTAGTGTGTGGGTGAGTGCTAGTGTGTGGGTGAGTGCTAGTGTGTGGGTGAGTGCTAGTGTGTGGGTGAGTGCTAGTGTGTGGGTGAGTGCTAGTGTGTGGGTGAGTGCTAGTGTGTGGGTGAGTGCTAGTGTGTGGGTGAGTGCTAGTGTGTGGGTGAGTGCTAGTGTGTGGGTGAGTGCTAGTGTGTGGGTGAGTGCTAGTGTGTGGGTGAGTGCTAGTGTGTGGGTGAGTGCTAGTGTGTGGTGAGTGGTGTTTGTGGGTTGTGTGCGCGCGTGTGGGGGAGTGCACAATCATAAGCAACATTTTCACCCATTTAACCTGCTCTCCCTGCGTCACCATTTAACCTGCTCTCCCTGCGTCACCATTTAACCTGCTCTCCCTGCGTCACCATTTAACCTGCTCTCCCTGCGTCACCATTTAACCTGCTCTCCCTGCGTCACCATTTAACCTGCTCTCCCTGCGTCACCATCGCTTCCTCTGCAGACCCGTGTGCCGGCAGCGGGGTGTGTGGGTTAGAGGGTTCCTGCACCACTCTCGGTCCTAACGATTTTTCTGCTATTGCGAGAATGGCCTTGCCTTCAACGAGGCTGACAAGACGTGCTATGGTGAGTGCTGCACTCGTGAGCAGTAGCTTCATTCTTGAGGCATCTCATCGTTTCAGTCTCACTGGTGAGCTTTAGGCACTACATTCCTTGAGGCATCTCATCGTCTCATCGTTACATTCCTTGAGACACTGAGAGGCGCCGCTGAGAGGCAGGGCCGGAAACGTTCACCCTCCTCACTCCTCCCGTGCCTTCCCCCCTGTCTGGTCTGCCCCCTTGCTCTCCTCTCTCCTGTCCTGCCTCCAAACCGCCATCATCGTCACGCAACTTCAACGGCCATGATCTGGCATTGCCCGTCTCCTTGAACGGCTGTCAGCTCCCTTGGCGCGGACGACAGTGGCGCTGCAGCAAGGAGGCTCCAGAAGCATTGTGCCCGCCCTTCTTTTTGCCGCTGCCGGCAGAGCAGGCAGTGGCAGCAGTGCGTGCGGCAACCTGTATGTCACCATCGAAGGCACCGCCAAGATCACCGTCGTGTGGAATGCCTCCAACCCCACCTCGCCTTCCCGCGACGCCCCTAGCAACGCCATGTGCAAGAGCTTGTCGTTCTACGCCGAGTCGGGCTGCACGAAGAAGCTGGGCTTCACCATTGCGCGTCCTGCAAAGAAGGGCAGTTCCTACCCGTCCCCATCAAGGAGTGAGCGTTATGCATGCAACTGCATGGTTTGTTCCAATGTGCTTGCATCACATAGTACGGCACTTTTCTATCACCAGAAATGCTTGACTGTCTCGTAGTTGTTGTAGTGTGAATGGACCCTAGCTCGTCCTAAGCTTTGCTCTTTCCCATCCTTACCTCTCCCGCACTCAGGACTGTCAAAGGAATCCGTTCGCTTTATCAGTTGGCTGTGAGATCAGTAAGTGCGAGTGCATGCACGTTACGCTGGTGTTATTTTCCCTTCACGTAAAGAGTGTCACGTGCACATTAGAGAAGATCTCCAAGCACGCTAGCTTGTGCTTTGCTCATTCTGATGAAATCAATGAACGAGAGAGAGAGATACCGTAAGATAGAGCGAGACACCCAAGCTCTTCTTTTGTGATTCTTTCATTCGACTCCATGCCTGAAAATCCATTCCCCCCTTCTTCATGTCTGGATTGTTTGTCTCTCTGTGGTGCCCACAACAGCCATGTGTGAGAATGATTTGGAAGTGCACAGTGCGTTGTGAAGGGGGGCCAGCCACAGTGCCAGTGCCCCGAGGGCCTCGTGTTCAACGCTGCTAAGAAGCGCTGCCTCGACCCGTCTCTTGCTCCTCGTAGGCGACCCTAGCTGGATGGACAGGGGGCAAGGACGTCATATCCGGAGGTGGGAGGGGGGGGGAGAGAAGGGGGGTGGGGGGGGGGGGGAGATAGCAACGGTGGGAGCAACCGTATGCGGAGCTTGGAGGCTAGGGAACTACCGTAATCACCCGGACATACCACCCGCCGAAATAGAACACCCCCCGGGTGGCTTGTGCGGGGTGGGTGCTATAGCG